AATAGACACATCCATGTCCAGGCAGAGAAGTTTGGAGGTAACCACTCCAGGGTTCACTGTGGGCTGAGTGGGGATAAGGGAGAGCCCAGGACCAGCAGCCCCAGGGGCTGTTCTTATGTTCTTATAGATATTACAAGACTTTTAGGGCAGGTGCCCATATGGAGGGGGGGAGGTCAAGCAGGATGAAAGGGCAGTAGGAGAGATAGTTTCCCAACTCAGGCATCCCTCCAAGTTTCAGGCCATGACCCCACTCCAAATCAAGCCATTCCTATCCCTGTCCCCATATGCTGAGGGAATTAGTTCAGAGTGGGCCTAGCATCCCCTCCATAGTCACGCCCTCACCCCAGGCTGTAAAATGAATCATGCACAAGACCTGGTTGAGTACCCCAGGGGGAGTGAGGATGCACCCACCTGCCTACCTTTTCCCCTCTATTTACCAGGTAGAGAGGAGATACTTAATCCTTCAGCACAAGCCCCTGGACCCCAGAGACTGTGCCTTCAGGCTCCCACAGAGTCAAGGTCCTGGCCCGGCTCTGACCAGCTAAGTGACCTGGAACAAGGTCTGCCTCTCAGTGAGCCTCAGTTACTAATGGTTTGGAGGAGAGGATTGCTCAGGTTCCCTGAGTGCTGTCACTTGGGTGTTGGGCTAACCCTCTGCCCTCAGGTATGTCCTCTTGCCATCCCCCTGCTTAACACGGGTGTTATCAGCCACCTCCACGCCTTTGCATGTGTGAAGCCCCCTGCCCAAACATTTGCTGCTCCCTTTGTCTGGCTTATGGTCTTTCATTCTACTTTCTTCACTTTGTGCAGGATTCCTGGACTACCCCCTGGATTGGGCCAAGTGCTTTCTCCATCACAGCCCCAGCAACTGTGTATTATACTTGGTGGCATGTCTGTCTCCCCAGTCTTTGATGGTGGAGTCCATGAGAGCAGAGGTGGGGTGTGCTTGATTACTACTATCCTTTAGTGCCCAGCCCCAAGAAGGCACTCTAGAAATATCTTAGCATAATAAGTAGTAAAGGTAGGCTGTCACAGAACAAGGATCTTCAAGGATGCAGCATAGTGATTAAAGATGAGGACTTTCAAACTACTTTACTGCCTGGCTGTATCATCTTGGGCAATTTACTTTACCCCTCAGGGTCTCAGTTATCCATCTCTAACATGGTCAATAACTAAGGCTACAGCACAGGGTTCTTCTGAGAATATGAGATGCTTGGCAGGTGGGAAACCTCTCAGGAAGTGCTTGGAGCAGGTCAAGGAAATGGAGGGAGAGATCTGAAGCATCAGCCCACTATTCTTCCCACCACCAGTCCTTTGCACTTGCTGTTCCCTCTCCACCGTTCATTCCACACTTTCCTCAAATGCTACCCTCTCAGGAAAGTTTTACCAGGGCTCCCAGGCACAATCCTGGCACTTTGATTAATCCCTGTACAGCATCTGTCACTAGCTGCCCATATGACATTTGCTTACTTGCTGTTGTCCATCTATCAGAACATCAGTCCTTTGAGGGTAGGCTCAAGAGAGGGAGGACCTCTTTTGTTTACAGGTGTATTCCCAGCATCTAGAACAGAGCCTGGCACATAGTAGGTGCTTGGTATTTAATGAATGCATAACAAATCTTGAGGTGGGGAGAGTGTGAAATATCTTTTTGCTGGGCAAACCGAGGCACAAATGGGTGGGAGGCATCCTCAACTACTCAGTCTTTCCCCAGCCACTAGAGGGCACAAGCTGTTTTGGTCCATGGCTCTGGCTCTGGAGCAGGATTCACCAAGACAGCAAGAGGGAACTGGGGATAGACTGATGGAAGTGAGATATACCTGAGGAACAGATGGGTTTGGGGTGGGAGCTTGAGGTGCTGAGATGGGCATCTGTACCCAGTTACTGTGCTCAGAGGAGAATGCAAGGCTGACCTGAGTTTAAGTCCCAACTCTTCGCCACCACTGGGGGGCGTTGATCTGGTCATTGGCTCCCAGGGCATCTATTTTCACAACTGTCAAATGGGAAGCTAAGCAAAGTGCAAAGAGAAAGCTCTGGGGCCCAAGCAGAATCAGAAGCTCAACTTAGCCCCTGCTGGGCTAGGTGACTTGGCTCTCTTTGAGCCTTGGAGATGGGGCCAGATGCTCCCTCAGGGCCACAGGGCCCACCCTCTTACCAGAAATGCCACCTCTGCCATCCAGAATGTCTTGGGGGCCCTCCTTGGTGACAGGCAGGTAATGGGTAGATCGGAAGATGCCACCTTCCCCCTCAGCAGCCTCGGCCCCACCCTCGATGTCCTCCCTTGGCGCTGGGCCATGCAGTCTCTCTGGGCCTCGAAGACGATCCGGTGCAGCCAGGCCACCTGCCAGGGACCCCTCCATGGATATCCTCTGATGGGTTCCACTCAGGTACTCAGCGGGGCATTGTGGGTCTGAGGGGGAGGATAGGTAGAGAGAGGGAAATGCTTAGGGAATGTAGGAAAGGCACTCTGCTTCAGTTTTCCCTGCCTCAAATTCTCAGTCCTCACCCTTGTAGCTATCTGCCTCAGTTTACCTCCCAGCTCAGATAAGCTAAGTAAATGGTGCTGTGGCCCTATCTATGCACATTATATCCCAATGGCTCCTATCCTTAGCATGCTTCAGTCTCTCCATCAATAACTTCTGTCTTTATGCAGATGTTGCACTGCCTAGTTTATCCCATTTTTATACATGCACATTCAGCTACCTTGTTTTCTTCCATCATCAATCCTACAGCTTCTCCTAGATGCCTTCCTTCATTCATACACAGCTGCACTTTCCCCACTTGTGCCTTCACTTCCATGCACATGCACATCCTACAGCCATGCCTCTTTCCTCTGCACGAATCCCAGATACTTCCACACCTCAGATCTTATATGTTGTCTGACGTCCCACCATCATCACCCTTCCTTCACTTTTCTGCATTCAGTTGCCCATTTCAATTACCCCTGCACTTTTCCCACACTCCACCCCCCCTCCACTGCCCCACAGGACTTTCAGGTTCCCAGCATTAAACCCTTTACTCTCACACACAGCCTCAAGTGACCCCAGCATTAACCCTTTCGCTTCTCCCCAACATTGACCCTCATGCATACCCAGCTAGGGTTGCATTCCCACCCCCACCAACCCCAACCAAGATTGGTCTAGTCCTCAGGCAAAAGGGACGGATGGGGCTGGGCTCCTGGTCCAGAAATAAGGACCCTGGGGATGGGGGCTGTCTTCTCCACCTATAAATACCTTCAAGGTAACAGCAGAAAGTGAAGGGCAGGAATGAGGCGCCCTCCCCAGGGAGATGGTGGGGAGGCCGGGCCCAGGCAACCGGGGCGGGGCCAGAGCTCCAGGCCTGGTTGCAAGCGCTGCCCTCGGGGGCCTGGGGGCTCCCAGGGGGCTCGTCCGTGGGCTGGCAGTCTTGGTGAGGGTCTCTGCCCAGGCCCAATGGAAGCACCTGCCGTTGCTCACCGGGTGGGCACTGCCGGAGGGGAACCGGCGGGACCACAACTTCGGAGCACTTTGGCAGCGTGGGGAGGGGGCTTCCACCCGGACGCCCCCCGGGGGTCGCAGAGGTGGGGGCTGCGTCGGGCCAGCGCACCCCTCTAAGGTCCAGGGTCTAGGGAATGCGCCCTACGCCCGTGCACCTCGGGGCAGGAGACCCCGCGGGACGCTCCGAGGTAGGGGGGGACACCTGCCCTAAGACCCCCGCCCCTCCCCCACCTGCGCGGCCCCGCCCCCGTCCAGGCCCCGCCCCGTCCAGGCCCCGCCCCGCCCCCGCCCCAGGGGGTCCCGCCTGACCCGTCCCGGCCCGGGCCTCCCCCTCCCCGCTCCGGCTCCGCCCCGCCCGCGGGCTCGCCAGCCCAGACCGGGCCTCACCAGGTAGGCGGCGCCGCCGGCCAGGTGCCGGGGCTTAAAGCTCCCCTCCTCGGTGCGGCCGTCGCTGCTGCTACCGCTGCTGCAGCTCCCGGTGCCGGTGCCACGGCCTCCGCAGCCGCCGCCGCCTCCACCGCTCGGGGGACATTGTCCCTTTAAATCGCTCCCCCCGCCGCCCCGCCCCCCCGGCGCGCTGCCGTGACCTCAGCGCGACAGCCCCGCCGCGCCGCCATGATGGGGAGGTCCAGGGCGCCCCCCCGCGACGCCCCGGGGGGGGTCGGCCAGCGGGCGCGCCGCCATGTTGGGAGTGGCTAGGCGGGTCACCCTTAAAGGGCCCGCGCGGCTCTAGAGTCCAGGGAGAAGCTCTGTTACTATGACAACACCCTTGTCCTACCGCCCCCAATGGCTCTTCACCAACCCACTGGTTCTTCTCACGCTAGGCTCACCAAAAGTAGTAGTAGAGTGGGGAGGGGGTCCAGAAGATCCCCGATGGGTCACTGATAGGTCATTGAGGACTCCAGTCCCTGCCCCTCATCAACTACCTTCCACTGCGAGCTCACTCCTTCCTTCCCATCATCCACACTGGACTTCAGCACCTCCATGTCTCTAGAACTATCCTAGGGGTCCCCAGTGCTAAGACCATTGTCTCCCCACCCAGCCCTCAGATCACACCTCCCAGAACGACCCCATCATACATACACACATAACAAGCCTACTTTCTTGTATCCACTGAACATCCATTTGTCCAACTACACAACCATCTCCCATTTCATTCATGTGCTCAATCAACCATTGATGTATCCATCCAATCAACTAATCTCCTATCCATCCACTCCTCTAGCCACCTGTTTATTAATCCATCCTAATACTCACTCAATCCACCCATCCACTTCCCATCTACCTGCCCTTTCACTCACCACCCAAGCAAATACCTGTTTATTCACACAACCAAGCAACATCCTTACACAATTTTTCTGTCCGGACACTCATCCATCTACCATTACATGTTTGTCCTCTTCATTTTGACCTGTCCACTAGAGTGTAAGCTCTATGAGGAGAGGAATCCTGTCTGTCTAGTTCTTGTTTTTCTACTGCCCAACTCAGAGTCTCAAGAGACTTCAGTAAATGTTTGGATGATATATATAAAATCACTTACTCAATTTGAAAATTTATTTATGAGCCAGGTCTTTGCTAGCCAGACATATCTATGCTGGGTAACCACCCAGTTACTCATGTACCAGGTCAAACATTCCATCTGCCTCTTGCTCCATCCACCCTACTCCTCACCCATGATTCAAATGATTCATTTATCAAACTGTTCACCCACAGAGCCTAACCATCTCTATACCTGCCCATCCTTCCTTTATCTACTTCTTAGATTCATGCTCTCCCTCCCATGAGGGATCTGGTTGGGATTTGGGAGGCTAGGGAGATTCTCTTATCTGGGGCCTGGAATTGGCAGGGTAGGTTGGGAGGTCATGGGCATGTGAGGTGGGCAGAGGTGGAAAGGGAATCCATGCTTCATTGAGAAGCAGGTGCTGCCCATAACAGTGATGAATAACTGTGCAGAGAACTATAGATCCATTTTACAGGTGAGAAAACAGAGGCACATTGAGAGTGAAAGTCTAAGGTCACATACCTGGTGAGAATCTGCTCACATCATCCCCTCCATGAGGCTTTTAATTAGAGGAGAATCTAGGGGAGCTGAATGGAGATTGGGGGACAAAGTTCTAAGAATTGCCAATGCTTAGGGGGTAAAAAACCCACCAATTTTACTGAAATCAAGATTTTACTGGGCAGGTTCATAGTGCCAGAGTGGTTGGCATCCACAGCAGCACTCCTCACTGTAGGCCATGAAGGGCAAAGGCAAGTTCAGACACCCGCCTCAAGACAGCTATCTCTCTGCCTCCAGAACAGGTGTGGGTGAGATGGACAGTTCAGGTGGTGTCTCCATTGATGCAGGGTGTTTTGAGGGGCAGAGGCTGGCTCTGGGATCCCAGCGTCCTTGGCAAAAGCTGCAGGCTCTGGACAGCATCCTTCAGCCAGGCCTGCGAATTCTCCATCTCAGTTAGACGACGCTCCTGGGGAGGCAGCGGCGGTGGGCTCAGAACCCGAAGATTGGACCCCAACCTTGGCTCCCCCAACATTCAGACCTAGCCCTCAGACAGGAGTCTCACCAGACTTTTTAGACTGTGCCCTTCACTGCTTGTAAGGCCACGCTCCGGATCCAACTTTGAGGTCCTGTGGGTGTCAGGGACAAGGCGGGGAAGGACAGAAGCTCAGAAGTCTCTTTTAGCTCTGGGTTGAAGTGCAAGAGATTCAGAAACCCGAGCTTAAGCGAAGGTGTTTGTTTCAACTGGGGGGCGGGTCCTAAATTTGCCTCAAGCTGGGTAGGGTCAGAACCTGGGATGGTTGGGATGAAAAGACCAATCAATCAATCATTGAAGGCGGGGTTTGGCCAGTCCTGGGTGGAGTTACGAAGGAGCATCCAAATTGGGATATGTGAATGCCCTCCCAGGCAGGTTGAGATGTGGTTTATGAGGGATGGGGCCTGGATGAGAGAACCTGCTAGGGCCCTGAGAAGGCCTATATAGGTGGGACCATCTGGGGAGGGCTCTTACTAAGAAGAGGGGCCTGGAAGGCATATAGAGGTGCGGGAGACGAAGGGGTGTGGTCGTGATAGGCATAATTTGGGCGGGACTGACTGGAAGGCGGAGCCGGAGGGGGTCTGGAAGGAGGGGCCCGAGCATATTTAATTGGAGCAGGCCCACCTGGAGGCGGAGCTAGTGGAGAGGGCGGGGCTCACCCTCCACTGAGCCGCGAGTCCAGATCCCGCAGTTGGCCTCTCAGCTGCTCCTGCTGTTCGGTGAGAGCCTGGATGTGGGTGCTCAGCGACTCCACGAGACAGGACAGAACTTTCTGCTCCTTGCGCAGCGCAGCCACCTCGCATTGCAGCTCTGCAAGCTGTGGAGAGAGAGCAGTTGTTAACCTGATCCATGGTCCGCGCCTTCGTCTCTCCGGAGACCCAGACCTCCCAGGCCCAACTGCTCATTCTTATCACTGCCCTTCCCTGTTGGGGAACATCGCTGCTGTTTTGTGGAGGGAAAAACAAGTTCAGAGAACTTGTTTGTTGTCACTGTTGTTGTCACTGTTGTCACTGCGCAGCGAGCCAGACTTGCCTGGCCCTTCTGTCTTTTCCCAGTCCGGTCTCTGTTCGCTTCCTCGCCCCTCCGTCCTCCCTCGGGCGGACCTGGGCTTGACCTCACCTTGCTTAAGGGTCGGTGAGTGCCCACTGCCTGGTCTCGGTCCCGCGGCTGATCAAAGTGACGCTGCCAGGGCACCGACGGCTTCCGAGGCAGCGAAGAGAAGGCCCCGGTCCAGAGCCGGCTGCCGGGCGCAGGACCGGTGCTCAAAGAGCCTTTGGGTCGCGGCCGAGGCCCCACAGACCGGCGGCGGCGGGTAGGGCGCCCGTCAGGGACGCTCTGTGTGCGCTGCACTGGCCGGGGCCGCCTCTGGGACGGCTCCTCTTCCGGACGCGGCCGGGCCCAACTGCCTGAGCGGTGAACACTGCGCAGGGACTGGCTCTTGGAGATGAGAGGGGTATGCTTGGGGAGGTCCCGGGGGGCCAAGAAGCCGGGTTTCTCCCCTGCAGAGAAGCTGGGAATGGGATGTGGGAGCTCAGACCTTCAATTTGCCTCTGTGATGACCTATCCTGATCTCTGATTTTAAGTAGTGTGAGATAACCCCCATTTATTTCCATCTATGTGATCCCTGATCCCGTTCTTTTTTCTTTTTTTTTTTTTTTTAGACAAAACCTCACACTGTTGCCCTGGTGTCATAGCTCACAGCAACCTCAAACTCTTGGGCTTGAGTAATCCTCATTTCAGCGTCCCTAGTAGCTGGGATTATAGGCGCTTGCCATAATGCCTGGCTAGTTTTTCTATTTTTGGTAGAGATGGGGTCTCGCTTTTGCTCATGTTGTTGAACTCCTGAGCTCCAGCGATCCACCCGCCTTCGCCTCCCAGAGTGTTCAGATTATAGGCATAGGCCACCACACACAGCCAGTTTTGCTATCTTTAGCAGATACTGCAGTTTTACTTTTTGCTGAGGCTAATCTTGAACTCTTGAGTTTGGGTGATTCACTCTCCTTGATCTCCTGGAGGGCTAGGATTACACTCATGGGCCATAGTCCCCTGGCCCTGTGATCCTGTTCTTGATGGGATTACTTATGACCTCTGACACTGATGAGACCTTGTCCTCTCTATGACCTTGGATTTGACTCCAATCTAACCTCTAGTCTTACCCTTCATCTCTAACACAATGTGACCTTTAACCTGACCCTTTCTATATCCTTCTATTCCAGTCTGACCCTGCCCTTGACTTCTGCTTACATGATCCACCCTCACCTGAACCCCAGCCTGAGCCCTGCTCTTGCTCCCACCATTTAGAACCTTGAACAGATTTGAGTTACCTGGTGTGAACCTGGGCTGGGGGCTTTGGGAGACACATTGGCACTGACACAGGTACAGGCCGGCCCTCCTCGATGGCTCCCAGAATGGTGGGCAGTGGTTCCAGGCTGTCACGGGTTGTCTGGTGAGGCATGCAGGAAGGATGCTGAGCAAGCTCTCCAGGGCTATTAGAGCTCCCAAACTCCTTGCCTCCCTTGCCATGTTTCTTGGGTTCAATCCACACCTGATCAAGTTCAGCAAAGATTGTACAGAGCTGGGCATGCAGGACTGCCAACTGGAGAGCCAAGTCGCTGCTGCCCTGGTAACCACTGGGTGCAGCATCCACATCCACTATGGCCACCTGGTCCAGGAAGTGTTGCATGGCTGGTCCGTGTTTCTCCAGGAAGCTATTCAGGAAGCCCATATAGGCCTCCTTCTCACCAAACCTGAGTCAAGGCAGACTGGGTGGGTCAGGTCAGGCACCTATCAACCCCCTACCCCCAGCATGGCTCCCATCCTCCCAGCACCTACGGGGCATGGTTGGCAAGGTTCTGGATAACCTTGGCAATCAGTGTGAGGGTGCGTGCTGGGCTGGGTGCTGGGTGTTCTGGTGCCAGGCCAAAGAGGCTGGGTGCCAGGATGGCGGGGCATAGGAGCCTCAGGAAGAGGGAGGCACACACCAGTCGGGGGCCTAGTGCTTCAGAGCCACGTGCTTTGCATGCTTCTCGCCAGGCTGAGAACACAATGCGCAGCTCTGCAGGGAACCATCTGGGATAGAAGAAGCAATGGTCAGAAGGGGAAGCTATGGACATAAAGATCAAGTTTGTAAGATCAGGGGTCAGGAGTCCCTAAAGTAATTTATTATTGATCCATGATCCTTTAGGAAACTATTTATGAAGCTTTAGGCAGCTATTTATGAAGCTGAGCAAGGCAAGGGTCCAGTTGCACCAGGTGCAGACTGACCCAGAAAAAATGCAGTCCTCCTTCTCACTGAACCTGGGATCTGGGCTCTGACATCTGAGATAATAATGCTTGGGTTATGGATCTGCTTGGGAGCATGACTTATTGTATAGTTATGGTGCTTTCTGGAGACAATATTCTATTTTTTTTTTTTTTGAGACAGAGTCTCTTTGTGTCACCCTTGGTAGAGTGCTATGGCATCACAGCTCACAGCAACCTCAAACTCTTGGGCTTAAGTGATTCTCTTGCCTCAGCCTCTGAAGTAGCTGGGACTACAAACGCCCACCCGACGCCTGGCTATTTTTTGTTGCCGTTGTCATTGTTTAGCTGGCCTGGGCTGGGTTTGAACCCACCAGCCTGGGTGTATGTAGCTGGCACCGTAACCACTGTACTACAGGTGCCAAGCCTGGAGACAATATTCTTACAGTTGGGGGTACAGGGACACATGGAAACAGAAGTCATAAGCTTAGGATGCAGTTATTATTTGACATGAGATTGAGCTACCAGAGTGCATAATATTATGTAAGATTGGTGTTACAGGGTCACCTAGGGTCAGAGATCAAGGGATTGGATCCCAGGTTTCCTGTGATTAGTTGTGTGGGGTTTGAGGTATGGGATCACTTAAGTCAGGGGTCATGAGATTAGGAGTATGGCATTATCTGGAATCAGAAGTCATAGTACTCAGGTCAGTGGCATATCATGGGGGATAGGGTTGCCAGATGTAGTTAATAAAACTTTGGGACACACAGATAAACTTGAATTTTAGATAAATAAGTAATTATTATATATGTGTGTCTATATATTTATAACTTTATTTATCAGAATTTTTATTTATATTTGGGACTTATCAAATAAGCTTTATTTGATATATCCTAAATATTGCATCAAAGTTGCGTGATCATTCTGTGTTTTATCTGGCAACCCTAACTGGGAGTTTGGGTTAGCATGGTAGGCAGGAGTGGGCTCAGGTGCTGGGACCCGGATTCTCACTCGTAGGAGTGGATGATGGTTTTGAAGACCTCCTCACAGATGTTTCGAAGTCTGGCCTGGTGCTTGGGCAGCTCTGAGACTGGGCACTTGCTGGGGTCCACCTCACAGTTCTCAGTGGAGCCACAGAGACGCCGCACAACCTGCCCTGCAGCCCAGGATAGCCAGATAGAAGCTGGGGCCATGACCACCAAAACCCACCAAACTCAACCTCTAACCCTATCTCCAACTTGCTCCAGAGTCATCTAACATCTCAGAGAGCTCCCATTTCCACTAGGATCCTAGAACCTCCAAAGAACCACCCACCGCCAGAATCAAGGTTACCCAAGGACTCCTAAAATTCCTCCCAGGTCCCTTAGCCCACCCAGCAGGACTCTGACACTGACCCTCCCCTCTTTCAACTCACCCAGGGTCTGCTGAAGGTAATCTTGCGCCACCAGCTTCATGTACTCGTCGATGGCTTTAGTGGCCAATGTATTTTCCCGGAACAGCAGCGCCTCGCGGCCTCCACAGCGTGCCAACTCAGCAGTGCCCAGGTCTGTCACAAGTGCCTGAGCAAGGCAAGGGTCCAGTTGCACCGGGTGCAGACTGACCCAGAAGATATCCTGACCCTTGGCCTGCCCGTCCCATCCCTCACACAAGGGGTACAGGTCCCGCCATTTGCAGGTGGGGCTTAGGCTTCAGTTCCCTTACTGCTAGGGCTCATAACTGAGGCCCGAACTTCTCCACCCCTCACAACAGAAACTTAAGCTTTTAGCGGTGAGGCTCTGCTTAGGCCCCCTCCTTTACAGGTGCAACTCAGGCCCCGCCCTTCAAGGTGCTCCTCCCTTTTCAGGTGCGGCTGAAGTCCAGTGCCCCAGCTCCCGTCCAGAACTCGCTATACATCTACACTTGGTCACCCAGCTCCTCTCCTTTGCGGCGCCACACCTGCGCTCGGCCGGTGGCCCGCAGCACGCGCACCATGGCGGCTGCCAGTTCCTCCTTGGCCTGAGCAGGTAGCTCAGGCTCGAGAGCCCGGCAGAGGCGCTCGTAGTGGAAGGTGAGGAATTCTGCCAGTTCCTTATAGCGCTCGGACGGCAGCACTCGCAGGCGTCGGGCCCGGATCCGCGCCCTCAGCGCTGCGCCTGCTGGCGGCCCGAGCAAAGGAAACCAGCGGTCCAGGCCGGCTGCAGGCGCGCGTGGGATATCCAGCTCCTCCAGTGCCAGCGCCACGCGGCCCATCACCGGGACCCCCCGGCCTGAGCCACGCAGCCGCAGCCGCAGCGACAGGCGACGCGCTGGTGGCAGCGCCTCGAAGTGGAAACGCTCGGCCCAGAAGAGCTGCCCAGGGCCGGCCCGCGGTGCAGTGCGCGCCAGCAGTGAGCCATCTAGCCACAGTTCGACGCGCACGCCAGGTGGCCCCGCCGCCGCCAGGGGAAGCCCTTTCGCCTCGTGCACCCACACACTTAACCACGTCTCTTTCCGCTCCACGTTGTCCTGCAGATGGGAGTTGGGTAGGAGAAGGGATTCAGAGGAATTGGCGCTCCAAAGAGGGCACAACAGGTGAACCATGGGGTGTTCGACCCTGGTGCACAAGGTCCCCAGGGACATTGCTGGGCCCTTGAGGGAAAAGGATGGGGCCAGGGCAGTCCCAAGGTGACCAAGCAGAAGCCTTCTAGCTTTTCTGGGGTCTCCTGGAGAAAGATCCGGGCTCCAGGGTATGGAAGAGTACTTTCGGAGGGAGAACTTTGGGTACAAATAGCAGGGAGTGAATAGAAGGAGTGGCTCTGGTAACAGAAAGGGAGTCTTGGAACTGTTGCAAAGCGTAGGAGGGGCGGTGTGTTGTTAGTGGTTATGCAGCCAGCTGGTTTGGGTAGAGTGGAAGGGGAGGGCCGCCAGTCCTGTGTCCCATTTTCCTAGGGTAATGACCTGGGTGGGTTGGAAGTGGCGTCGAAGGTCCTCGATCCAGCGGTCTCTTTCAGCGGCTGAGCGACAAGAGAAGCAGCGGCTTCCACCGGCCCAAGTTACCTGTTGGGGCGGTGAATCCAAGGGTGTAGTTGAGTTCTAGCCTGGAGCCAAAGGGTTGGAGGTGACAATGAAGTGGAGAGTGGCCTGTATTTACCTGGAAGCAGTGGGGCTCCCCCAGGAGGCTAGGGTGTAGTGGCCAGACCTGCACATCCCGCTCAGCGCCCAGATCTAGCTCAGACAGTGTGGCCAGTGATTCCCTGGAGCCCAGAGCACTGGGGGGTCTGAGGAAGGGCCAGGTGAGTAAGCAGTCATTCCTCCCTCTTCTTCCCCACCCCTTACAGCCTGAAAGGAGGGCAAAGGAAGGCCAAGATGGACTTGAACCTAAATCAGATCCTGTCCCAACCCTGTCTCCAGAACTCCCTCCCTCTGTGGCATCTTACCACTTTTAGAGTAAACTCAACTCTTTATGGTGGCTCTTATCATTTTCCATAGTCCAGCCTATGTCACATTTGACCTCATTTCCCTCCACTTAATCTCTCACTTTCTGAGCTCCAATCACTGCAGTGTGACTAGGACTCCTTGTTTTAGTTGATTTTTTTGACTCTTGGCCATTGCACTTGCTGTTCCCTCTGCCTGGAATGCTTTTCCCGCCCCTTCTTGATCTAGTTAATTTCTGTCCACGCTTCAGATCTCAGCTCAAAGGATCCATTCCTCCACCCTCCCAGACCAGGATGTTGACTTAGCTCCCATCCCACTTTAGAGTTATTTGGGTCAGCCTTGGCCGCCACCCTTCAACTATGGGTTGACTCATGCTAGGGTCTTTCAGTGTCCCTAGAATCACCTGACATGGGGGCAGAACAAAGAGGAGACCACAGAGGGTATTTGGTGAAGGTCAGAGTGATAGGCAGGAAGAGGAGAGTGCAAGGTTGACCCTCAGCTCCTCAGACACTTGGAGACTCTTACCCATCCCGGGAGGCATTGGCTCCCAGTTCTGACCTGGCCTTTTTCTTCTCTTTCAGCCTCTTGAGCAACCCCTGTGGGGGAGGGAGAAGTGAGCTGGGCAGAATGCTGAGTTCCCTCCTCACATCTTTCTCTCCTGGGGTGTCCCAGAGAATCTTCTGGTCTTGGGGACCGCTGTCCACCTCAGTCTGTATTAGCAGGAATAATAAGGGCAGACGACACCTCCCGTGTCTAAGGAATGTGTTCCATGCTTTCCTGCATTCTCTCCTGATTTCTCATAAACAACCCAAGAGGAAAGTTCTTTTTTTATTGCCATTTGATGGAAAAAGATTCTGAGGCCCAGAGGTCAGCAACCTGTCATCCCAGATCACCCAGCTCTGAGAATATTGGGGTCTTTGTTCTCCCCATCCTCCACTGGATGTCTCACCCGAACATTGTGGACTTGGTTGGGACCAGCACCCTCTGGTTCAGTCTTCCCAGGAATCCGATCTGTAGGTAATAAGAGGTGAGAAATTGGAATCACCTTAAACTCTGTCTCACCTTAGGATGCTCCCAAATGCCCCATCCCTTTACATCCCTCATGCTTACCTGGATCCTTGAAGTTCCCCATGGTCATGTGGATGCTGCCCTCAGAGCTAGCACTTCCCATTCGTGGCCTTCGAGGACTCTTTTCTCCCACAGTAGTGAACAGTAAGAGATGGGAGGCAGATACCTCCCCATTTTCCTCCCTCCCACCCCTGCCTCTGTTCTGTGCCTTTTCCTTTTCCTCCTTCCCTCCCCTTGCCCATGTGCCTACTTGTTACCTCCTCCTCACTCCCAAGCAGCACCAGCTTCCCATCAAGCAGGGTGAAGCTCCCAATGTCCCAGACAGGCACATCAGATGTAGGGGCCTCAGGGATCTGTGGGGCAGGGGCCTCTGGCTCTGGCTCTGGAAAGAGGAGAAGGTGCTGGGAAACCTAAGAATCCTTTTCTCTTCCTGAGGATACCCTGTCCATTTATTAAGGCTTTATTTAATCCCCCCAAAGCCACTGAAAGTGCTATTATAACTGAGACCCAGAGAGATCGAGTAACCTGCCCAATGTCACTCAGTATGTGACTGGTGGAGTTGGGCTTCAGACACAAGCAATCCTCTCTTAATCAGGACAGTAGGTTGGTCCGAGAAGTTAAATAACAGGACAGGAGCCTTGGTTTCTGACATAAATAACTAACCTAAGGTGGAAAGTATTCAAAGTTTGAGAAAAGAACAGAAAAAATTCAGGGTAGGGAGAGGTAGGGGGAGAGGAGGTAGTGTTGGTAGGTTAGGGAAGGCCTTCTAGAGAGTGAGTCTGCACTTGTTCTTGAACAGCAGGTGGGATTATGATAAGCAGGGGAGGGGCAGGAATAGCTTAAGTGAAGACTGGGAGACAGGGAGGTCCAGGGAAATGAAGGAAGGACAAAAGAGGCTTAAGGGCTCAAAGGCTGGAGGAGAAGGTTTGGGAAGAGATTGGCGGAGGGCCTTGGGCGCTATTTGGAGGAAATGGGGTTTTATAATGGGGCAGTGGGGAGCCATGGGAAATATTTGAGCAAGTGAAGAGCAGGTCTGCTGGTTAAAGATCTTTCTATGGAATGGTCAATACCTGACACCCTGGAGGGGGTTGAAGGGATGCCTTTGCAAACTGGAAATACGAGTGGTGAGAATTAAATGAATTTCTGGGAAATGGAAGGGCTGACTAATCCTTCCAGATTACTTATTTCCTTATTTTACCACCAGGTGCAATAAGCAATAACTTCCACTTATTAATGGATCACTTAAAATATGCTTAGCCCTGAGCCAGTGCTACATTCCTGAATTCTAATCATCAGGATATCCATTACCCTTCTAGATTCCTCTGTATGACACTTAGCACCATCTGTCATTTTCTTCCTGACTTATTTATTGTCTGTCACCTCCATTATACTACAAGCTCAATGGGGCCGCATCTGTCTTGTTCACTGCTGCATCCTCAGTGCCTAAATCAGGGCCCAGCATATAATACATGCTCAAGAAATGTCTGCTTAAATGAATGAATAAATGAATAAATAAAAGCAAATGAAATGATTATACCCTTCAAGATAAGGATTATCACTCCCATTTAACCGATGGGGAAGCTGAGGCTCAAAGAAGTGAGAAACTAAGACAAGGAAGCTAGAAGGCAGGAAAGCAGGAGGTAGTGGAGATGGATACCTGGGTATGAGAGGATGGGCCTGGTCCACTGGATTCAACAAGAGCCATTGGGGGCAAGCCAACTGGACAGTATAATTATGGGTCTATTCCCTGTCCCTTTCTTAGTCTGGACTCCCCTACCCACAGGTCCCTGGCAACTCCTCCCACCCCTCTTTACGTGGAAAGAGGGAAGAGGGCAGCAGGGCCCCAGCCACTTCCTGCTGGGCTTTTGCACTCCCCACAACTTCCTGTGTCTGCAGGGCTGATGCTGTGGAGGCAGATGAGGCAGATGAAACCCAAGCATCCGGTTTCCTAGCCCAGGCCCAAGCTCAGAGTGGGGGAGCCACGTACCTGGGGCTTCTGGTTCTGGCTCTGGCTCCAACGGTGGGTTCTTATGCTTCCCCCAGAGGGTCTTGGATAGTCGCAGGCGACTGGTGCGTGACTCCTTGGGGGGCGCAGAGAGGACTCGACGGAACAGCGAACGAGGGGCTGGTGTGGTGCTAACCATGGGCTCCTGATGGCTCAGTGCCCTGCCCCAGCCAGGAAGGCGGCCCCAGCGGAATCCTCCAGCCCCCTTCTCCCCAGTGCCCCCTGTGTGCCAGCGGTAGGAAGTCAAAGGAGAAGGGGCCGCGTGCTGGGTTTGGGAGGCCTGGCTTGGTGACGGTGGGTCCATGGTGGGGGATCTTCTGGGGGATGAGAGAGTGATAATTCTGTCCAGTGTCTGCTCACATACTGCCCTCATCTTGGCCCCCTCCCCACTCTCACCTCTGCCTCCCAGGACCCCCTCTAGGGACCATATGCACTCCCTCCCTTACCTTGATTTCCTGGCCAGCCCCGGAATCACTGGCTGTCTGCACCCTGCCCGGCTTCCTCCCGTTGAACCCAACTCCACGTGACCCTGTCTGTCTCACCCCACCCCACAATCAGGCTGGGAGGGCAGAGTGGGTGAGCTGAAGAGGTGGCAGAGCAGGCTTCTGGCAAGAAGGACCCAGAATCCCTCACTGACCAGGAGGCAAATGCTCCTCTCTCTGAGTCTTAGTTGCCTTCTCTACAAAATAGGCACATGCTGAATAAATACTGGTGATAATATGGAGCACCTAGAACTCTCACCTTTTGATGGCCAGAGTGTACATTGACTCACCTGTGATCTACTAGCACTATTAGCTGGGTGTCCTCCTACCCAGCAATTCCACTGCTGGATAGATACCCAATAGGTGTGCCCACAGCACTATCTGTGATAGTCTCAAACTGGAAAAAAGCAAAGTGTCCATTGATAGTAGATTGAATAAATGGTGGTCTCTTCTCCTAGCAGAAATGCAGCAATAACAATGAACAAACTACTGGATAATTGAACTTGGATACATCGCAATGTTGAGCACCCCCCGCCCCCCCCAAACAACAATGGAGAGTATACACTGTGTGATTCCATTTATAGAAAGTTTAACAGCAGGTAAAACTATGCTTAACAAGTCAGGATATTGGTTTTCTTTAGAGGTGCTAGTTACTGGGAGCTGGCCATGTTTATTATCTAATAATATTTTTATTGAAGTGAAATTTACATAATATAAGCTGAATACATTCTATTTCTTGAGCTGGGTACTGGTTTCACAGGTGTATTCTGTTGTGAGAAGCCATCAAAGTGTGCATTTTGGTGGATTTTCCTTGTGTTTCTGTTATACCTCAATAAATCTTGAAAAATGAGGTAGATAGTCATATACAAGTTTTTTTTTTTTTTTGAGACAGAGCCTCAAGCTGTCCCCCTGGGTAGAGTGCTGTGGCATCACAGCTCACAGCAACCTCCAACTCCTGGGCTCAAGCAAGTCTCCTGCCTCAGCCTCCCAAGTAGCTGGGACCACAGGCACCCACCACAATGCCCGGCTATTTTTTGGTTGCAGCCGTCATTGTTGTTTGGCGGGCCCGGGCTGGATTTGAACCCGCCACCTTAGGTGTATGTGGCTGGCGCCTTAGCCACTTGAGCCACAGGCACCGAGCCATGTACAAGATTTTGAGCCCACAGTCCCAGTTATTTGGGTGGCTCAGGTGGGAGGATCACTTGTGAAGTTCAAGGCTGCAGTGAGCTATGATAGTGCTGTTGCATTCTAGGACTGCACACACAGACAGAGACCTTGTCTCTCAAAAGAAGACAGATGGATGGATAGACAGACAGATAGATAGATGGGTAAACGGTGTTCTGAGGAATAAATGAGCCAGCATAATTCTGTCCCAGAAGCCAGAAGATGACAGACTGGGTTTGAGTACCAGTTGGCCCCTTTCTCACTGTATGACCTCACATGTCACTTCTCTCTGAGCCTTGGTTTCCTCATTTGTATAAGATGATATCAGTTTCTTAAAGTTTACAATGTGAGGCTTTGTCTAGTAAATAAATATTTCCAGAGTGCCTACTAGGTGCTAGGGGCTGGATACCTCCCTAGAGCTCAAATACAGAGGAAGAAAGATCTTGAACTCAAGCATGGGATATGTCTACCTGGTGAAGAGGACTTGAAGGACTTGGACAGACTGGAGTACAGGCTCAGCAGAAGTGCTTCTATTTGATCAGGAAAAACCAGGGAAGGCTTCCCAAAAGAGGTGAAATTTGCAATCATTTGCCCACATAACAAGCAGCCTCAAAGTGTCAATGAATTAACATGTCCCTGAGAGTAGTCCTCAACTAATAACTGATGGGAGTTAGTGTATAAATATCCCAGCTATCCCATCCCTTGAGTGAGATGACTCTGAAGTTATTTGTCCTATGTTCTTCCCCAGAGCTCTCCAGTGGGACTGAGCCATGGTTGCCCACAGTGAAAACTTGCTTGGTAACACATCCTTACCTTGCTGCTTTCCCTTCCCTGCCTTGGTACCTCTTTTTCCAGCTGATCCATTCTGAGATCACCTCTTGATAAACTACCTGTACTAGAATCCTTGTCTCGAGGTCTGATTCTGGGCAAACTCAAACTAAGACAATGTGTGCAAACACACATGATGCATGAACAGAAACTTTGTTTCCATGGTCTCTTTATTAGAGGTCTGTGGCTTCTAGGATCAGTGTGGGCGGCTCCCTCCTGGACCTCTGAGAGTCATCCTTCAGTTCTTGGCTTCACAGTCTAGAAAAGACAAGGGAGTGTGAGGCTTGGTGTAGGAGGTGGCTAGGTCTGCCCTCCTCACCATAAAACCCTGGATCAGGGAGGGAGGGGACAGGGACCCAAAGTTAAGGAGTGGGGACAAAGCTGATTGTGGGCAGGCCAGGATGGGCAGATCTATAGCTTAATGAAATGAAGAGGCAAGCAGCATGAGATTATCCACATATGATTATAGAGGTGTTTTAGTGATGGAGGTCAGGGGCTTGGATGATGTCATCAGGCCAACGTTGTGCTGCTGGCTGGGCCTAGATTGCTTCGCAATAAGAGTTGTCATCAGGTGTCAGGGATTCAGGAACTGAACAAGCATCTTCAGGGCTGACATTGTCCAAGCAGAGGATTGCAACACAGGGTTAGGGGCTGGACAGAAGTTGTGTTGGCCAAAGTTCACAGGATAGGTTACTGTTGTAATGGACAGCGAGCCTGTGTGTAGGCAGCAGAGATAAGGCCATGGTTGGGTGGACCGGGATGAGGTTGTGCAGGCAGAAGGGTTGTTACTTGGGTATAGGTCATAAAGGCCCGGCGGAAGTTGTGAGGGTGGGTGGCAGGGCCCGTGTACTAGTTGGGAGGGCAGAAGTGTTAGGCACCTGGCAAAGTATAAACTGGCTGAGTTGGGGCCTGGCTGAGCCTGTGCAGTGTCAAGGGTTATAGGTAGGAATCAGGGGCTCATTAAGCAGACAGAGGGAATATGAACTGTGGTAATGCAGGCAGCAGAGACTCACTGCAGAGAAGTGTGGCCAGGTGCTCAACAGGCGGAAAAGCGCGTCGCCAGGACAGTGGGTGCGCACCAGCTGGCGGTGGCCCAGCAGCGCGTAGTCTGGCCGCAGTAGGCCGGCGCGCACCGCGCATCTTGGGAGCAGATCACGCACCGTGCGCAGCGCGGCCTCGGTGGGCAGCGCCGCCGTGTAGTTGCCTACGAAGGCCACACCGAAGCCGCGGGTGTTGTGGCCGCGCGTATGCGCGCCTACCCAGTGCCAGCCGCGGCCCTCGTACACATAGCCATCAGAGCCCACCACGAAGCTGCAGAGGGGACCAGAAGGAGGTACCACTCAAGGCTTGATGAATGCTCTTCCCCTTATCCTGCCTTCTCTCTGATTCCACCTGTGGCAAGGGTCAATGAACCCGAGTCTTGCTTAGTCCCACCTCTATCAAGTCCAGCTCCGTCCCACTCTCGTACCAAGTGCCACCCCAAAAGTGTCCTGTCTCTCTGGATCCGTCCCTCAGCATTGGCCACACCCCTTTTGTCTTGACCTCCTCCCCCACTGCATTTTCTCAAGTCCAGCTCTCATCCAATTCAGAGTCCTTTTCTGTTTTAGGCAATTGCGGCCCTGGCCCAGACTCAGCCCCTACCACAGGCCTCACTACTCTCCCAGGTCCAGCCTCCGGTTCTAGTTCTCTACTCTGATCCAAGATTCCCACCTATTCGCTATTCCTGGACCCTACTAAGGCCCTGCCCCTAGCCTAGGCCAAGGGCCAAGCCACCCTTTCAACTTGACTCCACCCATCACAAACTCCTCCTCCATCTTGCCTGCTTTCCTCGTCAGTTCCCCTGCCTCAGGCCCCGCCCACCAAGACCCCACCCCTTAGCATCGAACACGCCCCCTACTCTGCCAGGCCCCGCCCACCTGTAGCCGATGTCATCCCAGCCGTGAGTGTTCTGGTGGAAGCGCTGCATGGAGCGCATGCTGGCTGCGCAGCGCACCAAGTCTGTACAGGGAGATGCAGGAATGTACGTGTGATGCACATACAGGAAGCCGAGCGGCAGCTTCAGCGGCGTTGGGCTGCCCCGATATGGCTCCGCTCCCCAACGGCAGCGGGGGTGGATGGCTGGGCATCCTACAGACAAAGGGGTCCAAGGCTGGGGTCAGCAAGCATTTCTCTGCCTACTGCCAGCATCCCTATTAAAGGGCACATACGGATCATCCTCCAGTCTCCTCCTAAATTTGAGAGGAGTCCAGTCTCTCTTCCCACACAGGTCCCTATTAGGGACCAACTAACTAAACTAAATCTAACAGCATCCCAATCTTGTTGGAATATCTGCTATGTCCCCCATCCCCTTCAGGATAAAGCCCAAGAATTTTGTCCCAGACTTCAAGGCCCTTTACAACCGAGGACCCAATGCTCTTTCCAGCTGCCACATTGAAAAGGGAAGGCACTAAGAAGGAAGTCCAATTGTATGTTACTTGTTTCATGTGCTTCACTTTTTAAAATCATCCAGCAAATCCAAAAGATGGCAATGATTTATCTAGCTTTACAAAGAACAGAAGTTTCAGAGAACTGAAGCAAAATGGCTAAAGGTGCACAGGAATAACTGGCTGAACTTTCATTTGGACTTCTGTGCCTTTGCATATGCTGAGCCCACTGTCTGGAAGGTCATCTTCCTCACTTAAAAAAAAAAATAAGACAGGGCTCAGTGGCTCATGTCTGTAATCCCAGCACTTTGAGAGGCTGGGGTGGGAGGATTGTTTGAGGCCAGGAGTTTTGAGATAAGCCTGGGCCTCCTAGCAAGACCACATCTCTAAAAAAACAATAAATTAGAATTAGCTGGGCAGAAGTCTGATCACTTGAGCCTAGGAGTTTGAGGCTCCAGTGAGCTATGGTTGCACCACTGCACTCCAGCCTAGGTGACAGAGTGAAACTGTTCAAAAATTTTTTTCATCCTTCAAGGCCCAGCTGTAGCTTTTCCTAATCTTCGCAGCTGTCCTGCCCCACCCCATTCACCTGCCATAGCCTTTTATTGCCCCCTTGGAACTCCCCTAGTCTTGAATTCCCTTAACTACATGGGGCTGGGAGTATGTGAATCTGTGAAAGAGTCACAGAGGGTGGTGGACCTTCTCACCTAGGAAGACCTCAGTGAACTCCTGGGTAGCATAGGTGGCCACCTGAGCCAGCTGTTCTTGGCTCATATCTTGCAGTTGGGGGTGTATTGGCCTCAACTTCTGTAGCAGGGCAAGGGCTCTCCACACCTGCTGGGCCAGGGTGGTGGCTGAAGTTAGAGCAGCTCCATTCTGCCGTCGGAAGTTACTGCGGAGCCCTGGATGTCCAGCCACCCCAGCTCCATAGTACTGGCTCAGCAAGCTGCTGAGAGGTGGCCGGGGCTCGGGGGTCTGGCTCAGGTAGTATCCAAGGAGGGCCCCATCCAGGGCACCATTGAGGAAGGCCATGGTGAGCACTGATGCCTTGGGGTCCAGGAGTGTAAAGGTCCGTGGGGCAGAGAGCTGGTCCCAGCAACCCTCAGCCCCCAAACCTGGATGGCTCTGGATCTGGGGGCCTTGGATAAAGGTCATACCCAGGTTTTCAGCCACGATGACTGCTAGGAGGCTGTCTATAGTGGTTGGAGACTTGGTTTTGGCATTTGACAAGGATGTTGGGACATCTAGAAAACTAGTTATAGCATCTAGAGGGTTGGCTTCAACATCTGTAGAGGTGACACCTGGAGAGGAATCTCCAAGTCCTGAGGAGGTGGCTATTACATCTGGAATGTTGGGTTCAGTATCTGGAGCAGTGGCTTCAACATCCTGAGGGGCATCTGTGCTGTCCAAGGGCAAGTTTATGACCCTGTGTCCCTGTAGCCCTGCCTCCAGCCCCACCAACAGGGGCTCCACAGCCACAGTTGAGCCATCTGGTGCCAGCACCACCCCATATTCCTGCCCACCCCGTACAGCATGTTGGGCTACCTCCTTGGTCAGGAATTGCAGCCCTGGGCTCAGTGTGTAGGTATCCAGCTTGTCAGTGTTGAGGCTTTGTGCTCCAAGTAGGAAGTGATGGAGGTGATTGTGGGGGCCAGAGCTCTGGGCTGACAGCAGCCTTGCAGAGATGACATAGCTAGTGTTGGTTGCTGGTGCCTTCTGCTCAAGCTCAGCCAGGGCCTGGATGACAGAGTCCATAAGGAGGGGCATAGAAGCTGTAGGAAGGGAGAACATGTTAGCCTAGCAGCCCAGTCTCACCCATTCCTGAACTTCCTTGTCTGATTCCACATCTTCCCTATGTTCCCAGTTCTCCATCTTATAACCCCAAGACCCCCATCACTGTCCTTGTATAGGTGAGAAAAGTAAGACACACAGATCATTGCCTGTTGCTTAAGTGGTTTGGGTTGTTTGTGAGCACTGGGGGACCATAGCAGGTTTATGAGCAGGAGAGGGACATGGCCAGGTTGGCATTTAAGATTGTTTCTTTGGCTGGCAAATGGAAGTGGATTTTCAGGGTGTTAAGGTAGAGAAAGGGAGACGGTAGGTAGGTGAGTGATGATGGTGGCTGAAGGCAGGTTCTAGTGGTGTAGCAGAGAAATTCAGGGAGAGTACCCAGACCTTGAGGGGGAAAGATGGGACAGTTTTTGGTGTTGGATTTGGGATGGGGGGATGTTAGTATGAAAGGTACCTTCTAGAATACCTAGTGGGAGAAGAAGTATGAGCTTGTGGCATATGGGAGAAATGTCAGTGGCTGAACCTGGAAAATAGAAGTACTAGGCCACCTGGCTCAGAGCCAGATCCAGGATGGGTAGTTAAATAATAGCTAACATTAAGTAAACATTTACTATATTCCAAGTACCACTCTAGGTGACTTATATAACAACTTGCTTAATCTTTATAACCCCTGTGAGGGGGCCTGTTAGCCCCTGTCTTAGTCTATTTGTGCTGCTGTAACAGAGTGGGTAGTTTATAAAGAGCAAAAATTTATTTCTCCCAGTTTTGGAGGCTGGGAACTCCAAGATCAAGACACTGGCACCTGGGACTTCCCACCCTTCAGAATTGTATAGAAATAAGTGATTGTTCTTTACAAATTACTTAGTCTCAGGTATTCTGGTATAGCAGCATAAAAGGACTAAGACAAGTCCATTTTTATAGATAAGGCACCTGAAGCACAGGGAAGTTAAGTTACCTGCCTAAAGTCAAACAGCAAAGAAGCAGCAGAGGCAGGATTTGAACCCAGGAATTCTTTATCCCCACACTGTGCTGTTTAGAATCCAAGTTCTTCTTCAGACAGTCAATACAGAAATTCTTCTATAGCTTTGTTCTTTGCCTTAAATGCCCTTTCCTGCTTCTCCCCCAAACACCATTCTCCTTCCTGTCCTAGATCTTTTCTGTGTCTCCTACTCTAGGAAACCTTGCCTATTTTTGGTCCCCAGGCCCCAGGTCCTTCCCCTATCCCCTGCCATGACCTAATGGGAAACATTTTGTTCCCAGATGGGAGGTTACTTGACAGCTGGGGCTTCCTAAGTCTCTGGCCTCACTCCATACACAGCTGGACATGGAGGGAGGAGTGAGTCCTGGGCGAGAGTCCTGACCCCTGACTTCTGACTCACCTGTCCCTGGCTCTGGCCACAGCAGCAGTCCAAGCAGAATCCAGAGGACACCTTGGACCATCGTTGAGTGGTTTTGGCTTTCAGGGTTTATACCCTCTTCACCTCAGTGAAGCACCTTGGTAATTCAGGAAGGAGACAGGCCTGGAGGAAAGAGCAGAGCTTCTGGCCACTGTCAAAGTCCAATGGTGAATGGCACAGCTGCCTTTAGCAGAGCTGTGGGTGGGAGGAAGCAAGGGTATGGGGCAGGGTGCCTTGGGTCAAGGTCATCTGAGACTTAAAGTCTCCCCTGGCCTATCCTGTCTCTCCCAGGCTGAGGTCAATGGTCAGTAAGCCAGGCCCATCCTAGGAGGGTCCTGGAAGCCAGAGAGTTCAGACTCCAGCAAACGCTGCCCATTCTTGAGGTAGTCTGAGGCCAATCCAGTAAGCCCTGCAGCTTCCCTACAGTGACAGCTCTGCAGCTGCTGCTGACCACCAAAGGGGACTCTGCTGTCTGCTCACTTGACTGGTAAGACTAGGTTCACTGGGGGAGGGGACGGAAAGGGGGGCCTGAAGTTGGTGCTGCCGTCTGCTTTCATTGCAGCCAACACTTCAGGCTCAGGGAAAGGTGCAGGGCCAAGGATTTTCACTGAAGCCTGATTTGAAGATTTGAGTCTACAGGGACCAGGAAATACTACCTCTCATCCAGTTCCAGGCCCTGATCCTGAGCCACCAGAGGTAGCTGAGAGCAGGGTTTGGGCTTAGGGGTTCAGAACCCGGGCTTTGTTTTTGGAGCTAGCTTCTGGGCTCACCTGTGTTGGCAGAGAGGTGTCCTTTTTCTTCCCCTGGTATCAGTGGCTGAGTCCTGCAGAGTGGGTCTGTCTCCCCTTTATTCCAGAGTCAGGTGGGGCTGGGCTGATGTGGTTGGGCCACTGTGTATGTTAATTGTTTCCCTGTGGTCCTCTCACCACAAAACCAGCTAGGGGAGTTTCTGGGACTCTGGCTGGAGACTCAGCATTGGGCGGGCCCTGGCTAGCCTAGGAATGCCCAAACTGAGGCAGGCCCGGGATTCCCCAGGGGCTACCACTGGGAACTATTCAAATATCAGCTGTCCTCTTTCTGGGGACCCTGCATTGCCCAAAACAAAGGTGGGCACACAGTGGAGGCCCAGGAAGTGGGGACTTGAGGGATAACATCCTCGGGGGAGTCAGAGACAAATATCCTCCTCCTGAGGGACGGGGCTTTGCTTGGTAGAATCACATGGAGAATGTGGACAAAATTTTACAAAGAGGGGGCCAACAGGTAGAGAATATTTTATAAATATGTTGTAAAGTTTTGTAATGAAGTTTTTTTTTTTTTTTTTTTTGAGACAGAACCTCACTGTGTTGCCCTGGGTAGAGTGCTGTGGCATCACAGCTCACAGCAACCTCAAACTCCTGTGTTCAAGTGATTCTCTTGCTTCAGCCTCCCAAGTAGCTGGGACTGTAGGCGCCCTCCATAATGCCCAGCCATTTTTTGGTTGCAGCTGTCATTGTTTGGTAGGCCTGGGCTGGATTCGAAGCTGTCAGCTCCCATGTATGTGGCTGGCGCCCTAGCTGCTGAGCTACAGGTGCCAAGTCAAGTAGTGAATATTTTAGAACTAAAGGCACATTTAGCTGTAATTTTCCATTTTTCCCTATGTATGGTGACTTTATAGGTGACCTTTGGGACACTGTATTTTTCTCTTTCCCTATAATTTTCTTAATAAAATTATGTTTTCTCTAACTTACTTTCTAGTAAGAATACAGTATATGATACATATACAAAACATGTTTGTTTGGTTGTTTGTTATTGTAAGTCTTCTGGTCAATGATAGCCTATTAATAGTTAAGTTTTGGGAGAGTCAAAAGTTAAACACAGAGGTTGATTGTGAGCAGGGGGTTGGTGCCCCTAAGCCCTGAGTTGTTCAAAGGTCAACTGTACTTTCACTCTCCTACAACTCCTCTGTGCTTCACATGTGTCCCCCTCTGCCCTCCCTAGCCCTTGGTAACTCTTGATCTTTTCATTGTCTCCATAGTTCTGCCTTTTCCAGAATGTCCTATAGTTGGAATCACACAGTATGTAGCCTTTTCAAATGGGCTTCTTTAACTTAGTAATATACATTTAAATTTCCTCCATGTCTTTTCCTGGCTTGATAGCTCATTTTTTTTGAATGCTGAATAATATTCCATCGTCTAGATGCACCACAGTTTATGTATCCCTTCTCCTTCTGAAGGACATCTTGGTTGCTTCCAAGTTTCGGCAATTTTGAATAAAGCTTCTATAAACACTTATGTGAAGGTTTTTGCACGGACTTATGCTTTCAAATTCTGTGGATAGACACCAAGACGTATAATCAGCTTGACACCTGTGGCTCAAGTGGCTAAGGCACCAGCCATATACACCTAAGGGGGCGGGTTCGAATCCCAGCCCGGGCCTGCTAAACAACAATGACGGCTGCAACCAAAAAAATAGCCAGGTGTTCTGGTGGGCACCTGTGGTCCCAGCTATTTGGGAGGCGGAGGCAGGAGACTCACTTGAGCCCAGGAGTTGGAGGTTGCTGTGAGCTGTGATGCCATGGCACTCTACCCAGGGGGACAGCTTGAGGCTCTGTCTCAAAAAAAAAAAAAAAAGAAGTACAATCGTGGATGATATGGTAAGAATATGTTTAGTTTTCGGCTTGGTGCCCATAGCACAGTGGTTATAGCGCCAGCCACATACACTGGAGCTGGTGGGTTTGAACCCGGCCAGGGCCTGCCAAACAATGACAACTACAACAAAAAATAGCCGGGTGTTGTGATGGGTGCCTACACTCCCAGCTACTTGGGAGGCTGAGGCAAGAGAATCACTTAAGCCCAAGAGTTTGAGGTTGCTGTGATGCCACTGCACTATCTACCAAGGGCAACATAGTGAGACTCTGTCTCAAAAAAAAAAAAAAGGACATGTTTAGATTTTTTTTTTATATGTTTAGTTTTGTAAGAAACTGTCAACCTATCTTTCAAAGTGGCTGTACCACTTTCCATTCCCACAGCCATGAATGAGAGCTCCTGTTGTTCTAGATCCTCTCCAGCACTGGTGCTTTTATCTAATGACATATGATATAAAGCAGCTTTTCATATGCTTATTTGCCATCTGTTTATCTTCTTTGGTAGGGGTCTGTTCAGGTCTTTTTTTTTATTTTTTGAGACAAAGTCTCACTATGTTGTCCTCTGTAGAGTGCTATGATGTCACAGCTCACAGCAACTTCAATGATATCACAGCTCACAGCAACTTCAAACTCTTGGGCTTAAATGATTCTCTTGCCTCAGCCTCCCAAGTAGCTGGGACTATAGGCACCCGCTACAACGCCCAGCTAGTTTTGGTTGCAGTTGTCGCTGTTGTTTAGCTGGGTTCGAACCCGCCCCATAACCACTCTGCTACGGGCGCTGAGCCAGTCTGTTCAAGTCTTTGGCTTACTTTTTAAACAGGTTGTTTTCTTATTGTTGCGTTTTAAGAGGTTTTTTTTTTCGTATATTTTTGGGTACCAGTCTTTTAACAGATGGTCTTTTGCCAGTATTTTCTCTTAGTTGGTGGCTTGTCTTTTTATTCTTTTGGAATAAATAATTTTTAATGCAATGTCTTAAAGAATCAAAGTGAATGCAAAATATCAATGATGAATAAAATATTAAGATTTTAAATAAAGACAGGATCAGTAGCAGTGCTGTGTTGGGGATTTTGGAGCCAGAGGCAAAAGGGAAAATCAGAAATTCTGATCTTGTCTTTTCACCTCACTAGTTTTGCCCTAGTCCTGGTCCTGTGTCCACCAGGGTGCAGCCCCCAGTATGCTAAGGGGTGTCTCTTATTTGAGATCCCCACTTGTCCTCTCAGTGTGGGAATGACCTTGATTCGCATCTGGACCCTGGGTTTGCTCCTCTGTTTCCCTCTAGTGATTGGGGCTGTTGGGGACCCCTTGTGGTTTAATTTAACCTTCTCCATTTATCCTCATTTCACTCAGAGGTAGGCTGAGTTCAGAGAGGTTAGGTAACTTACTCAGGGTCAAACAGCTAGAACCCAGGAAAGGGGGTGGGGCTCCAAACTCAGTGCATATTTTTCATTATCACAGGCTGAGGCTTTCAGGGCACAAGCCCAAGCTTGGGTCTGGACCAGAGTAATTATGACACCCTTCATGCAGGGGACATGTTTGTAGACTGGCCTCAGAGCAACTTCACAACTAGGAATTCATGGGTCAGTCAGCTGGAGAGAGCTGTAAGCTTGGAATTGTCCTTTAAACTTAAAGTTGGGTGAGGCTGTGGTTGTGTTGAGCCAAAGGTGTGTCCCAGATGGCAGGCATTTTCCATAAGGTCTATCTGGGATGTGTGACTTTCTGGGGCAGAACGCCTCCTTCAGGAAGAGTTCCTGATTACTCCTTGCTCCCCTTTTTTCCTCCCAGATCTGTGGCTTGAGGTTCCTTCCTTTGACCAAGGCTTGTGCTTGCAGGGATGTGAGTTTCTCTATCCATTGTTGCCACATTCTCTTTGGGTGCTGAGAAGTGCCCAGCACAGGCTCAGGGACAAAGTGTGTGTCAGGGAGGGATTGCTAAGTATATGAAAAGCCTGCTGAGAGAGTGGGGTCAGTTTGGGTTGGGCTCTGAAACACATGCACACAGATTCACGCACCCACACACCAACACACCTGGGCTGGGCTGGGCCTGGGAGGCAGCAGGAAGGCTGGAAATCCCACTATGAATCACCCCCTACCCAGTTTCCCTCCCAATTGTCAGGGTAGGTCGAGGCCCCTGAAGACTGTAGTCAGACCAGGGGTCTCATGAGAATAGCCAGTGAGTAGGGTGTGAGGCCAGCTCTAGTGGAAGCAGTGTTGGCACAGACAGGAAGAGCCCTGGGCCCTAGATCTTAAGTGAGGGTGGAATCAGGCCAGAGGAGAAGGAACCTGGGCCAGGGCGAGCCTGGGCTAAAGGTCAGAGTTGATTCACTGTGGTAGCACTAATGAGACTAATGAAGACCCTGACAATAATAATTAAAACTACTGTTTGTGGGGCTCTGAGCTAAGATTTTATGTGCTGTTTTTTCTCTTATTCAGCTCTGAGGTATTTTTTTTTTGGCATATGAAAATTTATTACTGTGTTTTCATCAAAACTTATGATCTTGGTTGTTCCTTTTTGCCTTTGTAAAGGGCCAGAAGAGAGACATTAGCTACTTTGACAACCTTAAAGCAGACTCCAGGAATGTCACCAACAGCATGACCTTTTTGACCAAATCCAGCAACCAGAAACTCATCGTTTTCCTCAATAAAGTTCAAGCAACCTTGTTCATTGGGTACAAATGCTGTGATTTTCTTGCCATACTTGATCAGTTGGACCCTGACACACTTCCTGATGGCAGAATTTGGCTGTTTGGTTTCAACTCCTACTTTTTCCAACACAATCCCCTTTGCATGGGAAGCACCTCCAAAAGGGTTGGCCTTCGGGACTGTGCCCAGATGGGCCTTCTTGTACTGTTTATCATGCCACTGCTGGTCTCGTCTGTGACTACGGAGCTTCTTAGCAGTTTGGAGCCCACAACACTTGCCCATTGTGCCGGCACCGCGGGCCTATGCGAAAGAGAGAACAGCTCTGAGTTTTCAATTTTAGAAATAGGGTCTTGCTCTGTTGCCCAAGAGATCTTCCTGCCTTGGCCTCCCAAAATGCTGGGATTACAAGTCTGAGCCACTACACCCAGCCTAGCTCTGGGTTTTGTTAATAGATGTCACAGAGCAGGAGTCAGCAAACCACAGCCTATTAGGTGGTTGCCTATTTTAATAAACAATGCTTTGGGGCAGCACCTGTGGCTCAAAGGAGTAGGGCGCCGGCCCAATATGCCGGAGGTGGTGGGTTCAAACCCATCCCCAGCCAAAAACTGCAATAAATAAATAAATAAATAAAATAAACAATGCTTTGTTTTGTTTTAATACATTCCAAACCTATTTTTTTGGAGGTGAAATTCACCATTTAAAAATTGTACAATTTAATAGCATTTAGTATCCTCAGAATGTTCAGACTGGATGCAGTGGCTCATTCCTGTAATCCTAGCACTTTGGAGGGCCAATAAAGGAGGAATGCTTGAGGCTGTGACTTTCAGAACAGCCTGAGCAACATAATGAGACCCCATTCCTACAAAAAATTAACAAAAATTAGCCAGGCATGATGGCATGCACCTATAATACCAGATATTCAGGAGGCAGGAAGATCCCTTGAGCCCACAAGTTTGAAGTTGCAGTTAGCTATGATCACACCACTGCATTCCAGCCTGGTGACAGAGTGAGACCTTGTCTCAGAAACAAAAAAGTTGTATAACCATCAAAACATTTGCACTACCTGAAAAGGAAACCCTGTTCTTATCAGAAGTTATTACCCATTCCCCCTGCTAACCACCAATCTGCTTTCTCTATGAATTTACCTATTCTGGACATTTCATATCAATGGAATCATATAATACATAGATTTTGTGTCTAGTTTTTTCTTCCCACTCAGCATCATGTTTTCAAGGCTTATCTGTCATCTATCCTGCAGCATAGATCAGTGCTTCATTCCTTTCTACAGCTGCACAATATTCCATTGTATGAAGGAACACAATTTGTTTGTGTGATCGAAGGTTTATTGAAATACATTCCTTTCCATTTGTTAACATATTATTTATGGCTGTTTTGTGCTATAACAGCAGAGGTGAGTCACGAAGCTTAAAATGTTTACTATATGGCCTTTATTTTTTTTTTTTTTGAGACGGAGTCTCAAGCTGTTGCCCTGGGTAGAGTGCTGTGGCATCATAACTCACAGCAACATCCAACTCCTGGGCTTAAGCAATTCTCTTGCCTCAGCCTCCCAAGTATCTGGGACTACAGGTGCCTGCCACAATGCCCAGCTATTTTTTGGTTGTAGGTGTCATTGTTGTTTGGTAGGTCCGGGCTGGGTTCAAACTTGCCAGCTCTGGTATATGTGGCTGGAGCCTTAGCTGTTTGAGCCACAGGCACTGAGCCTGCTATCTGGCCTTTTAATACAAAGTTTGCTTACTGCGTTGCACACAGTGGCTTATGCCTGTAATTTTTATTTATTTTGTTTTAAGAGACAGAGTTTCACTTTGTCACCCTCGATAGAGTGCTGTGGTGTCATAGCTCATACTAACCTCCAGCTCTTGGGCCCAGGTGATTCTCCTGCCTCAGCTTCCTGAGTAACTGGGACTACAGGCGCCTGCCACAATGCCCAGCTATTTATATGTTGCAGTTTGGCCGGGGCTGGGTTCAAACCTGCCACCCTCGAGTCGGCGTCCTACTCACTGAGCCATAGGCACCATCCTCATGCCTATAATCTTAGCATTCTGGGAGGCTGAGGTGGGATTGATCCCTTGTGGTCGGGAGTTCAAGATTAGCCTGAGCATGGGCAAGATTCCCATCTTTACTAAAAAGAGGCATGGTGGCAAATGCTTGTAGTCCCAGATACTTGGGAGGCTGAGGCAGGAGGATCCCTTGAGCCCAGGAGTTTGAGGTTGCAGTGAGCTATGATAATGCCACTACACTCTAGCTTGGGGGAAAAAGTGAGACTCTGTCACACATACACAAAAGTTTGGTGGCTCCTGCTGAGCCAGCTCACCTGGATTCAAATTCATACACTGCTTACTAGCTCAAACAAGTGGCTTTATCTCTAGTCTTCGTTTGATCCATCTCTAAAATGGAAGAATAGTACCAACCTCGGGTTACAGTGAATGTGAAGCTTAAAATGAGGTGATACTTGTAAAGTGTTTAGGACAATGCCTAGCATGAGGAAAGCACTGGGTGAGTAGGGACGGGGACAGTGGCAGCCTGAGTTTCTGCTGTCTCACTTGCCTGCCCCAGCCTCCTTAGCAGAGGTTCAGTCCCATTCTATTATTATTATAGCTGGACTCCCACATCCTAGAGGAATCTAGACACACAGTAACATTATTTTTGTGTCTGGGGCACCTGTACAAGCCCATGGATTCCCTGCTGCTCCCTGATCCCTCCCTTCCCTTCAGCCCCCACCAGCAATCAGCTGAGCCTTAGGGCCTGGCCGCAATCCAGTCTGGAACGACAACCACATTGTAAAAGCCACGGTTGACCAGCACCAAAATTGGTTGAACCCAGTTCACCAAAGGGAAAAGCAAGTTGTGATGCAAGCCACTGATCCCGCAGCCTCCAGCTGGGGCTTTTCTGCTATCCCCAGTGGGCAGATGTTGACTTCAGGTGCATCTTTCTAGGAGAGCAGAGGTGAGATTTAATCTCTTAGGCACCTGACCCTGGAACTGGGGAGGAGGGACTTTTGTAATTGAGAACACGGGATATTGCAGTGATAGGGTGAGCTTAGCCCTTGGCGGTATGCAAGGGGCAAAGAATGAGTGTGGCATGAATGGGGCCAGTTGGCACCTCCTGGGGAAGTATTTACTGAGCACTCATGGGTTCCTAGCTGTCGTCATGCTACTCAAGAGAATAACACAGGGCAGAGTGCTTTTTAACATTTTTTTTTAAATATAAAGAATTCCAAACACTTTAAAAAGGCAGAGAGAATTGTAAAATGAACCCCTATGTATATCCATCACTCAAATGACAATATGTATCACATCAGTATCCATTTATTTCTTTGATATTCCACCACTATCTCTTCGGTGATATTATCTACTGTTAATGATCAGTGCCAAAATCTATTAATTCATTAGCAGCTACAACATAGTGGTAGCTACGCAATATTAGCGCTTCTCCATTTATTAACTATAATATTTCCTTTCTCTCTTTCTTTCTTTCTTTTTTTTTTTTTTTTTGAGAGAGTCTTACTCTGTCATCCAGGCTAGAGCACAGTGGCACCATCATACACAGCAACCTCAAACTTCTGGGCTCAAGTGATCCTCCTGCATCAGCCTCCCGAGGAGCTGGGACTAAAGGCACCTGCCACCATGCCTGGCTAACTTTTCTATTTTTTAGTACATATGGCTTCTCACTCTTGCTCAAGCTGGTCCCAAACTCATACAATCTTCCCATTTTAGCCTTCCAGAGTGCTAGGATAACAGGCATTAGTCACTGTACCCAGCCTGGAATACTTCTGTTAAGAGAAACAGTCTCTTTTCTACCATTTGGTTACCCAGTGGTACAATTCAGATGGGGAAGGCAAGATTCTTTTTCTATCATGGTTTTCAAAATAAATATTGGGTTTGTTAACATCCTTTAAAGGAAACAATGAGATTTCACTCCCAATATATTTATGATAACATAAATTTAAGCTGTTGAAATATATCAACACTTATAGTTTTTATAATTAATGATAACCAAATCATCTTCCTTCTTCAGACAGTGGGAGTGTTTTTATGTTGATTCTTGAGTTCTTTCAACATGGCTTGAAGTCTCAGGTAGCTTTCTTGCTTTATGATGTAATAAGATGTTCCAATAAAGTGTTTTGGGAACATCTTGTTCATTTCCTGGGCCAGCCATTTCTCCTAGATGCCCTGTTCCTTTGATTAGAAAATGGTACCTATAGGCTGGGGGTGGTGGCTCATGCCTGTAATCCTAGCACTCTAGGAGACTGAGGTGGGTGGATTGCTTGAGCTCAGGAGTTAAAGACCAGCCTAAGCAAGACCCAGTCTCTAAAAAATAGCTGGACATTTTGTGACAGGCACCTGTAGAACTAACTACTTGGAAGGCTGAGGCAAGAGAATTGCTTGAGACCATGACTTTGAGGTTGCTGTGAGCTATGATGCCACAGCACTCTACGAAGGGTGAGACTCTGTCTCAAAAACAAAAACAAAAACAAAACAAAAACAAAACAAAACAGAAAAAGAAAAGAAAAGAAAAGAAAAGAAAAGAAAAGAAAATGGTACCTATAGACCACACTTGAACTGTGATGGGTGCTCATGGCTACTGGGTTCGTTATTGATACTCAGACTTTTAATTGGACACAAAGAGGAAATCTCCTACATTTTTTTTTTAAATAAAATACATCATGAGTTTATGTTAGTGCTTCCAATTCATATTCAAGACAACATGGCTGGCTCAGCGCCTGTGGCTCAAGTGGCTAAGGCGCCAGCCACATACACCTGAGCTGGCGGGTTCAAATCCAGCCCAGGCCCGCCAAACAACAATGATGG